GAGGCGTTCTCCTTCCCGGCGTGCGGGCCCTGAAGCCGCCGCGGGCCGAAGCCCGGGAGGTTTTTTGCGTGTTGCAGGTGGACGCGGCCAACCGGGCTCGCACGGCTTTGCTGCCCTGCAAGACGGCGTTCCTCGGCCTCAACCACACCTTCAACTTGGAGCTGGAGGGTGCCCGGCACCTCAAAGTGATCATCTTCTCTTGGGATCCCACCTCCTGCCGCAACCGTCTCTGCTGCCATGGCACCGTGGTCCTGCCCCACATTTTCAGAGGTAGGGCCTGGCGGTGGGATCAGTTTAGGGTTTGGCGTTTCGGCATCCCGTTGATGGGCACCGCTGGGTTCCGCAGGTTGCCGGGCTCAACAGTTGGCGGTACGGCTGCAACCTCGCGGTGTCCTCTACTCCAAATTCACCTTGGTGGAGCAATGGGACGGTCCCGGCGAGCGGGAACCCCGCGTCTTCGGCGTGGAGCTGGGCCAACTGGTGGAGAGGGAGAAGACGGCCACCAAGGTGCCCCTGCTCATCCAAAAATGCGTGGCCGAGATAGAGAAACGAGGGCTGAAGGTGAGCGGGGACTTGCGGTGATGGCTACGAGGGGGGGATGACGGTGGATGAACCCCCCCAAACGGTGGTGACGGTGTCCCTGTTCGCAGGTGGTGGGGTTGTACCGGCTCTGCGGTTCGGCCGCCGTCAAGAAAGAGCTTCGTGACGCTTTCGAGAGGGACAGCGCGGCCGTGACGCTCTCGGAGCAGCTCTACCCTGACATCAACGTCATCACGGGTGGGTGCTCACCCTCGGGGGGGGCACGACAAGGTCCCTGTGCGCCCCATGGGACCACGCTGATGTCCCCCTCGATGTCCCCTCGCTGCAGGGATCCTCAAGGATTACCTGCGGGAGCTGCCCACGCCGCTCATCACCCCCACGCTCTACCACGTCGTCCTGGAGGCCATGGCCAAGCGACACCCCCGGACCCCCCCAGGAGAGCGAGACGCTGTCACCCTGCTCGACTGCCTGCCTGACGTCGAGAAGGTGGGTCCCCAGCGCCAAAATGGGGTCCCCGGTGCCAAAAAATGGGGTCCCCGGCGCCAAAAAGGGGGTACCCAGTGCCATAAAGGGGATGCCCAGTGCCAAAATGGGGAACCCAGTGCCAAAATGGGGATGTCCAGTGCCCGAAAGGGGGTGACTGGTGCCAAAAATGGGGTCCCCGGCACCAAAAAGAGGGTACCCAGCACCAAAAAGGGGATGCCCGGTGCCAAAAAGGGGGTGTCCAGCGCCAAAAAGGGGATGCCCAGCACCAAAAAGGGGATGCCCGGTGCCAAAAAGGGGGTGCCCAGCACCAAAAAGGGGGTCCCCAGCACCAAAAAGGGGGTGAGGGATTCCATGGGGGTCTCGTTGCTGCTCAGCCCCAGAGTCTCCCCCCACATCACACATTTCCGCTGCAGATGGGCCTTATTTTTTGACGTGTGGCACGAGGCGCGTCCCCGTGTCATCTCTGTCCCCTCAGGACCCCCGAGTATTCTTTTTGGGGGGGGTCTTCACATCCCCCCAGTATTTAAGCGTTTTTTTCCCCCTCCGCATTCACTGTGTGACTCGGGTCCTGGTGACACTGGGGACCATTTGCCACCAAATCCCCCTGCGGTTCTGTTTTGGGGGGGTGCGTGGGACAACGGGGTGGCACAAAAGGATGTCCCCACTAAGGCCACCTCGTCTCCCCCCCTAGGCTACTCTGACGCGGCTGCTGGACCACCTCAGCCTGGTGGCCTCTTTCCATGACTTCAACCGCATGAACTCGCAGAACATCGCCGTTTGTTTCGGACCCGTCCTGCTCACCCAAAACCAGGAGCCTCGCT